TGGACAGGCATGTTGGGTATGACACCAGGCACCTGGGACATGGACAGGCATGTTGGGTATGACACCAGGCACCTGGCACATGGACAGGCATGTTGTGTATGACACCAGGCACCTGGCACATGGACAATTGTCCAGCCTCCCAGAAAGGCATGTATTGTGCTTAGCAAAGCCACATGGCTGAGAAAACTAAAGTTTCAACGAGGCACTGGAACACTTGGACTGGTTGTTTCCTGGCAAAGGAGAGCCAGGAAATAAGGTCTCATCCAGATTGGTGTCTTGTTTGGCCTTGTGCAAAAACAATAATAACAGGAAAACACTCCCAACTCCCAAGATCACAGCCTCAGCACCAGGAATGCTCACTGTGACAGCACAGCAGCCAGACTCAGGAGACAGACGTGGCTTTAAGCTGAGCAGATAAATATTTCTTTATAGAGTGCTTGACACAGCCTTAAACACAGAACCTTTTACAAGTCTGCTTCATACACCAAACCTCCTACAGTTGCTAAAATCTTTAGAAAAAGAAGAAGAAAAACTTTAGAGTGGAAGAAGCAAGAAATTGCTCTGAAACACATGTCCTTCCTGCCATTATTCCTGACAGGTTTTCAATGTGTTAATAACATCTAGTTCCTGAGACAGCCCATGTTTTTGGTTTTAATTCCAAATGAGTTATTTATCATTGTGTTAATTGATGTTATAATTGATCTGCTATCTACTTTGACTTATTTACCTGTTCTTGCACTCAGTCCTTGGTTTAATAAATAACCAACTTCACTAGTGTTATTCTTCAGCACACAGAACTTTATGTGGTTCTTCTCATCTTGTTAATTAAGAATTTTCTCCCTTATTTCTGTCTAAACACTAACATTAACAGACACAGGTGGGAAAGACACTGTATCAACTATTCCCACAGTGAGAGTTTTTATGTACTGCCAAGGTCCGACTGATTATATTTCAGGCAGGAGACCTGAAAGGGGAAAGATTTGAAACTCACAAACTGCCACAGGTCTTTTTAAAAGTGTAAAAACAAATTTCAGAAACATGTCTCAAATACAATACTGAAATAAATTTGCCTAAAATTAAGAACTCAGCTGGGCAAAAACAGAAGACAGAGGTCCTCCATAACTAAACACCACTGATTCAAAGGACACTTAAACTCCATATATATTGTCCTTCATTTTCTGTATCAGCTGAGTTTTCAAATTCAATGCATTATTCATTCATTTTAGCATAGTATGTTTTTAAGGGTGTAAATTGACCCAACAGGACTTTAATGTTAACCTTTCTTCAGGGTTTGCCTGTCTAGGAATACTTGGGGGTGAGAGTGGGAAAGGAAATGGACTTTAATCCTCACTGAGATAAGAGACCTTTCAACTGACCAGGTCAGAGTCATGAAGCAGGGGCTTGAAGGTTGGGGTCAGTTCTTGATTCTTCAATTCTTTTTCTTTAATATTCACTGAAGGGGAAATGCAGACTGGTCTGAACTGGAAACTGGAATTTGCGATGACCTTGCCGGGGTTTTCTGTCAAGACTGGCTGTAAGATCTTCATCATACAGATTTCTGACAAGGCCATGGTCTATAATCTCATGTGAGAGACAACACCTTCTACCACACGGTGCCCTGTCGAAAGACTTTCCAGTCTGAAAGTCAGAGGGACACCTCCTGGTCGACCAATGACCAGTGTCTAATGGAAAAAGTCCCTTTCAAGCTCATTTCAGAAGACCTGACAGGGTTTGACTTAAGCACGGCACGTTGCCTGGCCCCAGTTAGTGCTTGGTCTCCTCGACAGGAGTCTGGGTTTTGAGTCATTGCTCACATAAGCAATCCACATAAGAAACATGAGTTTTCATCGCTCTGGTTGTATACAGTCATAACGTATTTGAAAACATTAGATTCAAGTGTTTTCTTGCTATTAAAAGTGGTGTATTGTAATGAGGATGACAAATACTGGCTCCATCTACGAGCAGACATGGACTTGAAAACCAACGCGCTGCTCTTCAACGACAGCGAGCCATTGCGGCTTCAGCTGGGAGCCAATCCCAGTCCGCCCGCGGGCACCCGGGTGGCTGCTGAAGCTGGACCTACCTTCTGCGTCTTGGGCACGTCCGTGTGGCGCTGAGCTCGTACGGACCGGGCCGACTTGCCGGGCTTGACCGGCGCACAGTACATCTCCAGCCTCCACAGCTCACAGCTCTGGAAGCAGCACTCGTCCACGATGCCGCGATTGTGGGGGCGCCTCGTGTTGGAGCCGTAGCCGGTGGGCTTGTCTGTGGGGGGCGGGGAGGAGGGAGAGAGAGAGAGACACAGATTCGTACACTTTCACAGCCACTAGTGCAAACGCCCTCTCTTTACGCTGAGAACAGCAAGCAAACACTTTGACATCCTAAAGCTATCCGTGGTTCTCCAACCTTCCCTCACACGTTCAACCTAGAACACCGGCTAGATCCTGGGTGTGTTTATGCCCCAGAGGGCCTTATATCATTTGTAATTGTCTCAGGTTCTTAAAAACACCCCTGGCCAAAACTAAGTATTGTAAAAAAATATCTGTAATATTCCTTGTTGAGACTGTGATGGCATCTTTGCATTTGATTTTACCGCTGTAAATTACGTGTTGCAATTGACAACACGTGTCGTACCTTGGGCTGTTTTGATATTGGATGCTAACATACTTCAGACAGAGGGTTTTTCATCCCTAAGAGCATTACGCCACTGCACCTGCCTCTGAAGCACAGCCCACACCAGGCTGACACACAGCAGCCCCACTGCACTGCAGGGCAGGGGGAGGGATGCGTCAAACTAAAGGGAAACCTGAGGAAGACCGAGTGTACGAGCCCAGAGTGGAATTAAACCTGGACATCTTCTCTTTTGAAAATCTGCAATAGCCAAAGAGTCAGAAACTTGGTTTGACATCTCATCCCTTAGCTGTCACGCCCCACACTCTCCCACCCAAACGCCGTTACATTCCCAAACCCACTGTTTCACAATCTCATTCCTAATTGAACCCATCACATTCCCACATGCACCAGATTCCACAAATTCTCACTCCCGAACCAATTATCCAACCACGGCCCTCTCCCTTCAGTATTTAAAGCTTGTTTAGCTGCTGAGACCTGGTGAGATCAGGCTTCAAGATGATAACCCAGCTTTAGGGAATAGTAGTTCAGGTGGGTAGCTGTGGCAGCATGCATAGGCTTCAAAGGAACAAGTAATAGGTTTATTCCATGCTGAAAGAAAACACAACGTTTTGGCTGTGACTCACACCTGACATCTGAAGAGGGCTCCATGGTCGAAACGTTGTTTTCTTTCTTCTTTTTTTTCAGTACGGAATACACCTATTACTTGTTCCTTTACTGCTCTAGGGAGGTCAAATGCAAAAAGCTGCAACTTGGAGACCCTTTTATTCGGTGAGGACTTTGTTAGGTATAGGATTTGAACCTGGCACCCTCCAGGCCTGAGATCATACCTGCCACGACTCCACACTGCTATTGTTGCCAATGTTATTCTGTGTTCTGTATTTCTATATCCTGTCAGGTTTTTAAGGAAATTCATATATCACCTTGAGTACAGGCTTCAGCTAATTAAAAATAGAAACACTATTCACTACACTTCTTCAAATTACTATTATTCTCCTTTTAGTAGATTTATATCTGTAACTGGAAATTTGCAATGTTTGTAGCTCAATGGTGAATTCAATTGCATAAAGAGAACTATTTTCAAGGTATGACACAAGAGCAAGAAACCATTTTGCCCTTTAGCTACTGTATTTTTAAACAGTTTTCAAAAGCAAATTTTAAAAATTCTTAAAAGCCTCATGTCCCATTTTATATTATTCTCAATTAAACTGTAGTTCCTGCCAAAGCCTTAAATCAGACTGACAGATGTGAAATACTCAGCTTTTATTTGCTGACTCAGTTTCTAATTTCAAAACTTGCCTTTTTGATCAGAACCCTGTTTTCTGTTGTGCATTTCTTTAGAACATGAGTAAACGTCAACACTATTGTGCCCTAAGAACTTCAGCAGTCCCCTAAAAATATACAGTACATCCTCTCTACTGCCTTTATGTGATTTGTAGTTTCCCTGTTACCCTCACATGTAGATGGCAGTAAACAGGTTAAGTTAACTTTTGAAATGATAAGGAATGTTGACTTTGTAATACTGAAGCCTCCAAGGGTTCACTGCCTCGTGATCACTGCTGCAGTAGCAGGAAATTAGTCACACTTCAACTTCAGTGACAATACAGCCAGGCTGTTAACCTCCTGGGTTACAACATGAGACAATCATGTTGAGTAAGGATGTTGCTAGGACTGGGACAGGAACTGAACCAGTGAGTTATTCGCCTATTGTGAAGCACTAATACCCAGGTGGACCAAACATAATTCAGAATTTAACTCTCATGTGGGGCCAGAGCAACAGGGTTAAACATACACTTTTTCAAAAGAAACAATTGAAAGACATCAACAAAACTGTGAATTTGTGAGCTGAAATCCCCTTTGCTTGAGGTGGGATTCTGCATGAACTCTGTTGAACACCGGCTTCTACAGAATCACTCCATTCAGTTGCTGATGTTAGCAAAATAAAGCTACATGTGTCTTGATAGTTGATACTGCCTTAGGCTGGACATTTTACAAACTCTCGGCACCCCTTCCTATTGACAGCTGAGCCTGGTGGACGTCACTGCTTGCTCCATACAGAACACAGCAACCACTAAGGGCTGAAGCGTGTGGCCACATGAAACAGCCTTTCACCCAAGGGGGGTATCCACCAGGGGCGATACGGAGAAGAGTGCGATAAACAAGAGCCTGTGGGCGACTTAATTAAGCCCTGTACGCCCCTACTGAATACACCTATTTTTAGAAGTTCATACATTTGTTACGAATAAATTTGGCTTTCACAGCTGTGCTGGAGACCAGTAAAATGTGCTGTGAGCAAGAAAGTGAGTATCAGCTTGGCTAAAAGACTGTACATTTGCTCAAAATGGATCTCATCCATTGACTCAAAGCTACACAATAACTGCCCTGTGCTCACATCCAGCCCCTTGGCTGACTCTGTGATATATGGATGGCGTTAATGACACACATTTCTTTAGAGTAAAATTTACAGGATATCACATTGCACTGTGCGGACCCTTTTTGGCAGTTACTCTCCAGTGAAGGACGTCACAGTCGCCCGATGCTGAAAATATCATGTTTTACTTTTCAGAATTCCTATTCATTATCCACTAGCCTGTCCAGCAGGGAAAGGCCTGACTCCTTTCCTTTTAATAAGCTCCTAGAGGAATGAGGGCCACCTTCAGCCCCAGTAGGTATAGGAAATACGTCCTATATCTCCAGATTAATAAAGTGCTAAAGTTAGTAAACGCAGTCTCTCGGTTGCTGCTGTCAAACAAAAACTCACCGCCACAGCTTCTTGGTTGTAATAAAAAACAACTGAAAAAGTTTCAAATGAGTCAGCTGCTTCATTATAGCCTGAATAAGGTGATCTCTCCTCGTCTAGAAACAGTTCTCATGAGGTCTCGGGAACAAGTTCTGCCCAACATGAATCCATTCCCACGTGAGACAGAATCAATATTAACAGAGAAAGCTCCAAACACAGCTCCTCCAAAACAACAGTTTTTTGTCTCCACTTCCATCGTCTCTCTCATTAAAATTTCATAGTCTTCGATTGACAGTATACTGCATTATGATGTACTGAGCACTTTCTATATCCAGTTTACACTGCAGAAATGTCCTCACAAAGTTCAAAGTACAAATTCAGTTTTATGAACTTGGTGCTATTTTATATAGGGGTAAAACACCTCATTTATATTTATATTAACACATAATATGTCATCATTCTAACAGTTACCTAGAAAGGTTCTTTGTCATATTATTCAGATTACCCACAGTGTTTCTGTACCTAACAAATATGTGAGAGAATATTCCCAACATTGGGTTGGTCTACTGCCAGGAGTATTATAACTGCATTTGTGTCATCAGATGTACTAGATGTTAATAGAAGTCTATGGACAATTGGGACCACTCAGTCCACCACAGTTGGTCTATGTGCAATAGTTCTGCACGAGATGTGCACAGCGGTTACTTGGATTCTCATCGGCTATATTTCACTTCCTGTTGTTGGCTTTTAAGCTGCCAATCACTGCCCTGAAGGTAATGTAAACTGACTGTTCTGCTAGCCGAGCTGATGCCTCCAGCAGTACAGCAGATGTACGGGCATCAGCAATCATCCCCCCCAGAGAGGTCACTTACAGTAAATCAGCCACAGCACAGCACTGGTCTGCGACTACTTTACATCTAGGAATCTAGGAATCCATGTGCTGGGCTGTTCCTACATGAATAGATCACTCCGTTGGAACATAACATTTTCAAACACTGCAAAGGAACAAGTAAAGGTTTATGCCGTGCAGAAAAGAGAAGAAAAGAAACACAACGTTTTGGCTGTGGAGCCTTCTTCAGGTGTGAGGCTCCACAGCCGAAACATTGTGTTTCTTTTCTTCTCTTTTCAGCAGGGAATAAACCTTTACTTGTTCCTTTGCAGCCTACGCCTGCTGATGCAGCTCCCTACTTGAACACACTTTTGTTCTAATGTGTATTGGTGTGTGCATATGGACTCATTAGATATTAGCTTAAGTAAATAGCAGAAGGATAAAAAGATAAATAGCTAATAGATGATAGCTAATTGCTAATTGCTAACTGTCCAGATATAATATGGGCTGCCATAAAGAAAACAAACATATGAGATACCATATACTCCTAACCTCATCCATGTAATGTCCAACGCCCACTACACTGGACAACAAAGTCTTCACATTTTGCTAAAACTAGAGGCAAACAAATGGTACAATGATAAGGATCATTATAGATCACCTTTTGAATTGCACACAGTTGGTCTCAAGGACTCAAGGATCACACTCACATCTGTAATATTAAGTTCAATCTGTACAGTTTTAATTGATATTTAAAGGCATTTGCATTTTTGTAGACAGAAATATGCAGGCTGGCTATTTAACATAAATATACAATGCTGTTAGGTAAGATAACATGTACAACACAGAAGATCCCAAACTTCTCAACTTGTCAAGCTCATTGGCTTGAAAACATATGGGTAGCTCTCTCTCTCAAAACCACTCAGTCTTTCCGATTCTCTGCCACCATTTCCAATACAACACGAAACACAGCTAATTTTAGACAAACAATCTCAGCCTACGTCCAACTGATAACAGAGATGAATGCCAAAACACCCCAAAGGCTGAAACATGAATTTAATGAAC